ATGGCAATAGGATAAATTAGTTTACGAGTGAATGTTTGGAGTCAGAGCTTTATAGCAATCAGAAGAGATATAGCTAACCAAAGATATAAGGTTTGGATGTTAGGGCGTGAAATGACCTTAGCCGTTAAGACGCCCTTAAAAATTAATAATAATAATAATAGATAATAATAATAATTTAAAAGTCGTCCATCTATAAAAAAAGAAATAAGGGTTGCTTTTATTAATACGGATATTTTATCTTGGTCTTCATTTTTTATTTTTACATTATTATTATTGTTTTAATTTTTATTTAATTATGAAACAGCAAATGCTTCTCTTTCTGAAAAAAACAAACAAATTTTTATCCTGCTTAATGAATTATCATCTAAAAATTTTTTGATATAATATTAACCACTAGTTAATTAATTTAATTGAGCACTTTGACCTTTAACCGTTGTCTTCAAATGATGGTAATTAATTAATATCGATCCAGGTGCGGCAGGGTGCATCGGTCGGCCGAGGTGTAGGCGTGGCGTTGTGACCACACTCAATCTTGGCGTACCAAACCGAACAGCCGATATTTCTCGGCCTAGTTAACAGAGGAAAAGGGCGGCCCATTCCCAGGATCAGGTCTAAAACCGAAGGATCATTAATTAAAAGCGGTTTAATGTGGAGGAGGAAGAAATGAAATTTCGACACGGGATCTCCCGGTTTTTCCCTGGAATTTTATAAATAAATCCATTCATTTTTTTCGAGTTATTTATATAAGTTTTATATATTTCTATTTTACAAATAATCCGTTAATTTGAATAGTATTTAAGAAAAAAAGAAATTGAGAATTGAGTATATTTAACAAATAATCAAATATTCCTTCAAAAAATTGATAAATATCTGATAAAATAGTTTTCATATAAAATTACTATTAGTTTATAAAAAGGATGATGTTTTTTAGTGTTTTAATTTTTTCTTCGATTGAGAGGAATTTTTTAGTTAAATTTAAATAGTATTATTTATATTTAAATATTAAATATATGTGAATATTTGTATCCATTGCAAACTCTACTGCCAATTTTCGCATCACTTTCGTCGTGTGAAATTAGTTCACCTTGGTGATGAATCTGTAGTTTGGTACTTTCAGAATGTGTGGTGATTAGTGACCGTTAATCGATATTGATTTAAAAATCGTGAGATGCAGTGTGGTGTGATGTAGGTTTCAGAAAAAATTTCTTTATCGTGCCAACGTTTCGATCTTTATTGAGATCATCTTCATTCATGTCGAGAGTGCCCACACGACATACAAGAATGGCACAATTACACAGAAGACAAACACTATGAGCACTGAAGATGATCTCAATAAAGATCGAAACGTTGACAGGATAAAGAAAATGTTTTTCTGAAACCTACATCACACCAGACCGCATCTCACGATTTCTAAATAAATACTTTCAGAATCTTCCTGTCATTTATGATTTGTCTGTCACATGTTTGACTTATCGGCACCATCAGTGGTGGAGTTGATCCAAAATAAATATTAAAATCTGAAAATGCCGAGAAGACCAAATAAAAACATACATCAGTCGCAATCACTGAATATACCAAGCCCATTGATATCCTTGATATAAATTTTATATTTTACACTTTTCGCTTAATTTCTCTCAACAGTTTTTCATTTGATCAGGAAGCTTACAAATTATTAAAAGCCATAATATTTTTTTTGAATGAATGGAAGAACGAGATAATGAAATATTAAATTGAATAATCTTTCTCTTTCATTGATATTCTAGGGGCATAACATAACAAGATGTTCGCATAAATCTAATTTTGAACAATAGTTACAAATATATGAATTAGAAAAATTTATTTAAATAGATGGTTAGATTGCTTAAATAGTTGATAGGTTTGAGCGTGCGAGCCGACATATAGTTCTGTAATAATAATAAAAATTTATTAAACCTTTCAATTATTGTATAATTTATAATTTTTTAAAGTAATGGTTTAGCGGTCTGCTGAGTTCCATTCCAAGCTCTCCTTACACACCAATACAGTAGCTCAAGCACTCTCTTCACCTTCTCACAATCCTTCTTGCCAACTAAAAAGGCATCCCTTGTGACGTCTTAACACAACCCTAATCATCAACCAACAATCCTAAACACTGACAGCTCCAGCAATGGGCGGCTCTTATCTTCCATCCTCATCCCAGTGGTCTGATAGGTTCCTGCTAGTCTTTTATTGGTCGCTTACAACAAATTACAGTAAAGATTGTTTTAAAAAATTGTTAGATATATAAATTTTTGTATACAAAAAAAAGAACAAGAATATTCGCCTGCAAGCAATATCCTTTCACTTACAGAAAGTTTCCTGTTCCTAGTAAAAAGACACATAACGTATTTAGTCGACAGAATCACCTACCATACTCCCATTAACATTACCTACCATTATTAAATTCCTTGTGTTTAGAATAAAAGGTTGCTCAGTGCGTCACATCTGACAGAAGAGTGCCACCATGCCTTGGCATAATTATAGAAACAGATAAGGAAGGGCTGGAACTGGTGTGGGGAGTGAGTATGAAGACTTAAATGTTAACATATTATAAATATAGGAAATGGAGAATATTGGAATTCCTTACCTAACTCCATTCGTAGTGCTTCAACTCTTTCCATCATTAAGTCCCGTCTTTTTAAGTACCTTTCTCTACAATTTAACACCGAAGATGGTTAATTTTCTGTTAATTTTTGGATGGATCAAAATATTTCAAAAAGGTTCGTAATATAACAAGCTATAAATAAAACCAAATGTAATAAGAAAACGGTAGTATTACCCCAGGTCAGATTAACATATAGGTAAAAATTATTTATTTTATGGCCAAATCGTATTTCCAATTTATGTATTCATACTTTCACATCTGTGTGCACAATAAGATTTTTTAAATTATTACAATTAATTAAAGTTTTTTGTTGAGATAAAAAAATCAATGACACGAGTGGGATTCGAACCCACGATCTTCGGCTTGATACGCTGCTGCTCTACCACTTGAGCTATCATGACCTCGACTTTTTTATCTCAACTAAAAACCTTAATTAATTGTAATAAATTAATTGGCCAAGGGGACAACGAAATTAGTGAATTTTTTAAATTATTACATTGAACTAAAACTAATAAGTAACAAAATATTACCGAAATTAGTATTCATATTATATCAATTTTTTAAGTTTCATATGAATAGTACTGCAAAATAAAACATTTTTTAAATTATTTATTTGGACTAAAAGCAATAAGTACCAAAATATTTCAACCAAAATATTTCTAAATTTGTTCATATTTTAACAAGGTATTAACAAAACCAGATTTAATAAAAAAAACACAAATATTACCCGACATTTTATATTTCTTTGTCTGTGACATTACAAAGAACACAGTTGAGTTCTTTTTTCGTGACTTCACATTGTAATGCAAATTTTAAAATAAAAATTATATAAATTTAAATATAATTTTATTAATAATAGGTCAATCGGGCAGGTCTGCAGCCTCGAAACTGATATAATTATGTCAAAGATGATTAAACGTTTGAAGGTAACTTATTAAAATATAAATGGCTAAGAAAACCGTTAACCTGGAACGTTACCGTGCACTTGAAAATATTATGTAATGCTAAAATTTCAATATAAATTATAGAGTAATAAATACTCGGACTTTTTAAAACAAATGAAAACACTTAAAACTTTAAAGTAAGGACATTAAACACTTGAAATACGCAAATCGTAAATATGAAAATACTGAAATATACGCTGTTTGCATTTCAAATAATAACAGATTCTACATAGGAGCATCAGATTTTCTGAATATCGTTACGTAGGGGTTTAAGTTAAAAATTATTTTCAAGTCCTTTTGACTGTTATATGTGTATGTGCATAAAGGAAAAAGAAAAATTATTAAACACATATGAATTATATTCCATTTATTCACCCAACTTTGTAACAAAAGGAACGTAAATATAAAATACGTTTCATCCAGGAGGTTTGTTTTATCACATGACCGTGCAAACTCTCCCAAAATAATCTTACTCCTAAGCAAACTTAAAGTTTACATCTATATACATTTATTGTACAAATGGACATAAAATTGTGGCCAAAGGGTTTGACTAGAAATGTGTTGATTTAAAGTGACGCTTTCCTCACTGAGCAAATTTGCCCTTTGGTCTCTTCTTGTATGAACACTCTTCGGGTCGAAAATCAGACGGTGATCAAATATCATACTGGAATGTTAGGGTATGGATTATATACAATAATTTTAATATTAAATACTTACTAATTGTAAAAAAATAATAATTAAAAAATTGAAGTCTTATTCTCCTACTTTTAATTTTGTTTTGTATAAATAAAGCACCAAGGTGACTCGTGCTGGTGGGAATATATGGCAAAATAGAATTCTTCATAAGAAAAAAGTCTAAACTAATTTTTGAAACAAAAATGATTAAAAATTTACATATCACATGCTGCATATTTTAAAAAATATATTTCTGAATGAGATCTTTCGTGGTGTCAATCTAGAAAGAAACATCTTGAAATATTTCTACTTCATTTAAAATATTTTTGTAACGCCAGACAATATGTATGCTCTTAATAAATATCATTATTATTTATTATAAATTAAATGATTTTTGAGAGATCATATATGGGTTTAATTCAGTCTCGTAAACTATGCGTTTTTTGCAAGACATTTTCTGAAGAAGCATACCTAAATCAGATATATAAATTTGTTTTCGAAACTTACAAAGTTTACTGTAGGAATGTCCGATCTATTTTGTAAAAATAATTAAAATTTATCCATATTGAAAATGTTCACTAAGATTTGTTCAAGAAGTATGCATATTTTATGTTTGAACGTTGATTATAACTAATCAGCTTTCTTGGTTAATTATTGCCGAATTTAGCTTCTAACGTTTATTTAGTTTTCAGAATTTTTCATATTTTTTGACTTATAAAACATTTTTCGAAGGCTAAAAATTATTTTGCGCTGCTAGCTTTAAGTACCAATGCTTTTTGTTACCTTAAGTTGAACAACAATTTTTCCGAGATTTCAATCGAAATGCACATAAAAACGGACCGAAAAAAGTAGTTCATTTTTCACTTTAACGTTTTGCGTTGAATCATATAGTTTCTTAAAATTTCGAATTGAGTCTCTTTGCTCGTAGTTCTTTCAGTTTAGGGTCATCTCGACGACCGTTCTAGAAGGTCGCAGAGTGCGGCAATGTAGCTCTGGGCCATTTGCAAAGTTTCAAATTTGCTCAATTTGTGATCAGCCCCGATGGAAGGAATGACTTCTCGCAGCCTGTCGAAAGCTTCATTGAGGCCGTTCATCCTTCTCCTTTCCCTCGCGTTGGCGGCAAGCCTCCGCCTCCGAAGTACCGAGGGGCTTGGTGCCCTGACTGAATCCCTCCGCCTCCTCTGGGAACTGCCGACGGACCAAGGCTCCTGCATCATAAGCGGTTTCTGCTCCATGGGCTGCTCCCAGTAACTCTTGTTGTCCCATTCGGACCACGATTCCGCGTAGTTGTTGTTGTTGATGTTGCTGGGGTGGCCGTAGCGGAGATCGTGTTGTTTGGCGACTCTATCTATCTCCTCGCCGAGGTAAAGCCTGTTACTTTCTCCCCCGAGGTCCAGCTCCATGGTTCTTAAAATGAAATCACTAAATCAATAAATAATTTAAACCAATTATAAAGTCATAATTACAAACAAATATTTCGAACATAATCAATTTTGATATGGACTACCCCACTAAAGAAAAAATTTGACGTATGATTCATCAATCTAGTTTTCCTGTTTTGATATCAGATTTGGTTATGTATTTATCTATTTCAATTACTGGGTTTGTACATAAATAACACACCAGACAAAACACAACGGTAAACTACTCAATAAGGCCAAATGCCAAAAGAACGAAGCTAACCTGCTATATGCAGACCCGGGTTAACGACCGAAAGTTTATTTGTACCATCAAGGCCTTATCAAGTTTACTGAAAGATTAAAAAATGAACATATAAATTGTGAGATTTCTTCCTGAAATTTCAGTTTAATGATCCTCTACTTTGGTCGTCTCTTGAAATTTTGGCATACCAATCTTTGGTGTTTTAGTATATCTGAAGCATTTCGACATCAATGATAATTCTTAAGGTGGACACATTAAAATGATGGGAATCTGATTGAACAAAATTAACAATAAAATAGAAAATTCCCTCAATTCTTTGTAAATACAAAGAAAAACAGGTAAACTAGGTTTAAAAACAGTTCATATCCTAGAAAAATTAATCATTTGGTATGACGTTGTGTTGCATACATTTTAGCCAAATGGTTATGTCCATCAAAATTTTCCTAAGCGGCGTACTGTTAATTTAATTAGAATTGAAATTTTGGAAAAAATCGTTTTAAAATTTTTTTAACTGGGAACTTTTTGCTCATAAACTATGTTCTATTATTAAACTTCCTTTGATACAGTTTTCCTAATAAATCACCTAATTGATTCTAATTTTTAATACTACAATCATTTGTTAACATTCAGAAAAAGTGAACTTTTATGAACCTGATTTTTCCCGCACAAAAAAAAAAACACTAGAAAAATCGTTATTTCCATCAAAAATGTTACGCTCGAGTTGAAACATTGGCTCTTTTTCATGGACTAATTATATTTATTGAAGAAACAGGGAAAAAAGCAAGAAAATCCAGCACAATAGCGAAAATGAAGTTAGAAGATTTATTACATACATTGTATGAAAATGAACAATTGTACAAATCTGGAGCGTTTTTAAAAAATGTGTATGTATTATATTCTGTTGGTATTAAACTCATATACATCGGAGAAGCTATATATTTTTTCTCGCAAAATATATAATAATGCATTATTGCATAACATGCATAATAATGCATTATATATATATATTTATTTATTTAGATTTAATGTCTATTAATTTATATATGGATGTTCGAAGAGTAACAACGTACTTCGTAACATACTACACATGTTTTGAGGCTCTCGCTTTTTTGTACTTTCTGTGTCAAAAATTAGTTAAAAATAATACATAGGTACTCTTAAATATAAATCTTACATTTATGAATTCTGTGGATTATTATATAAAAATAATTATTAATCTAAAATTAGAGCTCGATCAGAAAATTACTTTTTAAAAAAAGTTGTACTTTATCATCTTTCAGCACACTTTTTTAAAATCAACAAGTAGTGCTTTTTGTGCCGCCAACTTCTGTGCGGGTTTTTGACACTTATGAGCGAATATTTTTATATATAATTTTTGGATACAAATTTTGAGCAATATTTTCTCATAAATTTAAGTTGCTCCCAAAATTTACAATTCACTATTTTTATAAACCTAGCTACGAATACCTAATAATATACTAAGCAAATTTAAACAAAAATTGATTTTAATATATCATTGATGTTGAGAAAAGACAAACTTTTTGATCTCTGTCCGATCAAATAAATTATTTTGGAAAATTTCGGAGATACGGTAAAATTTAGCATGGCATACTTAACTATAAAATACAGACTCTTCTAAAAAAGAAATTCGTATGTATTTTCTAATGCATTGTGCAAACGACATAAATAAATGTTCATCTGAAAATTCACCCCTTTAAAGTGCTTGAGAAATGCTCTGCAATCCTACATACGTAGGTTGTAAAATGTATTACACATTTAAGACCATGAGAAATTGATTATAGTGTACATGTAGTTTTTTGTAAGAAATGGTTTAATTACTCGTACGTTATCAATTTTAAAATTCCTTTACCGTTTCTGACTCCGATCTCATTTTTGTCTGCTTGGAATAAATATTCCATTTTTCCTTCATAAACTTTTACAATAAGTTAAATGTGTTTATTAAAAAGAAACCAAATAAATTTAAAAGAAATTAGCAGATATACGGACTGAAAAATGGCGTACAGATCTATACAGGGGAGACTTCAACGCATAGAAAAGATCGCGGAAATAAAATTTATTTTTTAGAATATTTTCTTAATAATAACTATTTATTAATTTATGACGCTTCTTGTAAATATCTATGTTACTATCACGTCATTTTTTATTAATTATATCTAGATATATATCTAAATTGTTATTAGATTAGTTCTTACTAATTAATTCTTCTAGAACTAAAAATCATAGAAAATTACGTGATTTTTACCTTTAAAATTGAATGCATAGACTCTTTATTACTATTTATAATTTATTATGCAACAGTAGGTGGTGTACGGTGTCCCAGAGGAGGGGTCCAACTACTTTCAAAATAATTATCACATAAAATAGGTAATAGCGGGATTCAAACTCAGAGCTAATAAAGTTGAAAATACGGATCGGGCGCCCTAACTAATCTTCCACGAAGGTAAAAAAATGTATATTGAATGAAATTTTTAAATTAATCCAACTGGTCCGACCTAATTGGGACCAATCCCTGTTCGGGTTAGAAAAAAAATCAGATTTGCCGAATAACTTCAGTAATGCAGTACCAAGGGAAACAGGTCTGGTAGGCGGATAGGTGATATGCAAACGTTTATATTAAAATTAACCTGGGGGTTTTGAAAAAGTCGGACAAGGGTGACAGTGTAGTTCACTCATTTTGAATCAATTTTCTCTATCTTCCTTGTTTTTTTCTTGTCGGGTCCGTTTTAGCTGCTCCCGATTCTCTATTTAAATAATAACTGCATTGACACCAACCACTAAAGAGTGTAAACACCGCTGAGTCGAAGAGTGTAAAAAGACCAAAATAACAATGATAGGCAGACGAAAACATTTGGAAAAGACCTAATTACAATCCATCACTACGCTCAAAAAAGTGGCAGTAGGATTTGAAATAAAGGATGTTTGAATTGAAAGGAAATAGTAAAACTGGTCACAAACATACCGTGTACTTTGGGGAAAAGCGAGTTTTTGAAAAAGCAGGACAAGGGTAATGGAAAAGTCGTAATTTATCAATTTCCAATATCTGGTACCTTTTGGCTTTTCCCCATATTCTTTTTTTAATAATAAATTTGTTAAAAACCCACCACTGAAAATGACAAATCAAAACAGCGATTATTGGAATACCAAAATGTTCGAAAAAGACATTACTACTTGTCATCACCAGTAATGTTTGGAAAGTGCGAATCAACAATAAATGATTAATTATATAATTTACATGTAACTGGCAAAGATTAAAAAAGTAGTTTCCAAACTAAAAACTGTATTTAATAAAACAAATACAAATTAGTTTAGAATGATTCCAAAATTGTATTTCATTGCCAATTTTATGTAAAAGTAATAAGAATTTAAAAAATTGTAATATATTTAATCATTACGTTATCACAATGGAAAGAACATTTTAAAATTCGTAATGATGCTCCTTTTTTTATTCAAGAGCCAGGATTTTATTTTTAGAACCCTATTCTACAATCTCGCGTTTAAATTTATGTTCAAAATGAAATTGAATTTGCTAAAACTTCGTGTTTTTTTTACACTGTCATTTAATGCTTGACATAATCATATAGGAACGTTTTAAAAATTATACGTATAGAATGGGTTTTTGTGAACGATTTTAAAAATAATGGTAAAAAATAAATTATTAATGTAATTATAATTTAATGTTTATTTTTAAATACAGGTTGTTATTAACAGTTTTACTTTATAACACATAATGGTAAATTCAGTACGAAAATGATACACATATCTCTGAAATAGATTTATGATCTTATGATGATATTATGATTATGATGATGAATTAAATNTATTATAGATGGATTTGTTTCATAATGACTCTATGTTAAAAAAATGCCTGTATTGTTTATATAAATATATATACTCTTTTAAATAAAGTATGTGTTTTAATTGATTTACAGTAAGCTGTAAATATTTTTTTAATTTGTATATAGTCGATTTATATAATTTTATTTGAGTAGAAAAATTATGATGCACCCGGATTTATTTTTTCCTAATTTTATTAAAGAAGTGAGAGAGTTGAAGAATGAAATTCAATGTTGAAAGTTGTATTGACGATATCTACCTGATGAACGTTTCAATATAGGATCAGACTCCCTTCATACCTGGCCCGATTGATACTGAAGAGGTGTTCCATCCCCCTGGAGAGGTAGCCCTGGTGTCCGGGCTATCCTTTTGGTGGGGGTTACCTGACGTCAAGGGTAGCCGCTTCGAGCCGGTGACGACCTGCTTGACGTCACGCTCATGAGATACTCGTCAGACCAGATCATGATTATTAAATAACGTGTGTATCGCACCTCGGCTCGATTACGGGCTTTTATCTCCTAAGGGGTTGCGACCCACTGGGTAGAACCTCAAGAGGGTTGACAATGGAATAATTACAATCTGATACCTTTACATCTAGTGTTTTCTTATAAAATGGAATATTTTATTAAGACATTATACAAGGTAACATGATTAAAGTTTCTGCTTGAATTACGATGATTAAACCGTAAAGAAATAATTTTTTAGCACAGAATTACAGATTTTATAAAACATAATCTGTTTTGTAAATTGTATTATAGGGACCGTTCCACGTCTGAAGATTAACCGTTAAATAATACAAAATCAGCAATCCTTACAAATTGTTTCACCGTTTTTTGAAGCACGGATGCCAACTGTGTATTGGACAACATAAGATGTAGCGGCTGGGAAGTACGCTTTCTCGTGAAAAGGAAGTGCAAGCTACCACCTGCAGACGGTCAATTACAAAGCTCATGTCTCTTGGCTACATAACCAAACAAGACAGGTCCTGAGGGGAAAAATTTGATATACTAACAAATTAAGATGCCAGTGTCTTCCGTAAAAAATTCGGGTTGGCTTTGTTCATTAATTCTAACAAATTAATTTTAAATTAACTCATTGGCTTATTTTTTTGCCCTGAAATGTTTATTGTATTGTTAACCGAAATTTTTAAGCAATGAAAATTTTTGCGAGAAGCTGGATTATACTAAAAAAATATTTCGGAGTAAAATCGTGATCCATACTTAAAATTTGTATGTATCTATTATTTAATGTAAACATACTCTTCACTTTCTAATTGACGAATAAACTGTTCATCGGATTTTACGACCTTTAAGTCTAAGTAGTCAGTACCGATTACTTCTAATCTGCATTTCCACGCTGTTTCTGTTCGCCACCTTTTTCTGTTTGTTTGATTTCTGAGAAGTCAAGGGTTTTTCATAAATGCGTGAACGGAAGGCTCTAGGTATCTTTCGGTGTGTATAATTCGTAAACAATTATTTTTATTAAGGTTGTGTTGTCAAATAAACATTTATGTGAAATAATGTGTTCACATGAAATATGTAGAAAAATCAGACAACTCTTAAACGTTTATTGTCATAAAAGTATCAAAAAATCTACAGTGAGTACTTATATTTATATTATAAACTTAATAGACCTCTCAATAAAATCTTAAAACATATATAATTTAAATATCCAAAGAGCTGATTCATTGAACCTTGTATGAAAATTCAAATTTATCTACTTTCTAACTAGAATAGAATAGAAAATACTTTATTATTTAGAAAAATTTAGTTTACACCAATGAATTTTATTTACAACCAAAGTAGTCAATAAATGCGACATGGTTTCCAACTGTCTGTCGGATCACATTAGAATTTGTCATCAAACAAGGATTTCCCTTATATTATATATAATTACAATTAATTAAGGTTTATAGTTGGGATAAAAAAAATCAATTGTCATCATTAAACATTACAATTAATTAAGGTTTTTAGTTGAGATGAAAAAAAGGTAATGGCACGAGAGGGATTCGAACCCACGACCTTCGGCTAGATACGCCGCTGCTCTACCACCTGAGCTATCGTGACCTCGATCCATTACCTATCTATATATCTAACTTTATTTCTCTGTATATTTGTCTTTCTAGCTTTACATGTCTGTTTATCTCTTTCTAAGTATCCTTCTTTATTTCTAGCATGGCGAGAAAACACGAACCCAATGGCTGCAGTGTGCCTGTAAATGTTTTTGTAATTTCCCCTGCTGTATATTGTCGAGGCTGTGTTCAGATTCGCCGTTTAGCCCGGACGAGATTTAGCATTCGGTATCAGGTCGGCGTCGTATATTTAGAGGTAGTAGCAGGTTGTTGAATTCATTAACACGCCATAGGAAAAGGGGTGCAAGGGAGGCGACATCGGGAGAATTATGCAAATCCGGCACGTGGCGATGAAGACCGACGTATCCTGCCTCGGGCTACAATCGGAAAAGGCTTCGAGGTTTCATAGTAATTCGTAGATCATGAACGATTCCCAAGGTTATGAATTATCTAAAACACTACGTAGAGTTACTTTAATATCGGTAAGTATTGTAAAAACTTCGTTAGTAATTATTTTAATATTTTAATATCGAGCTTATGTTAAAATTCGACTACTCTTAAATTCTACTTTATTTAAACTATATTTAGTAGCTTTTGAGAATGCCAGTGGGTGATATTAATATGTTGACATCCTAAGCATGTCTAGGCATGGATTAGAAAATTTGCATTGTGTGAAGTTTTGTCGTTTCTGATTGTCGCTGGTTTGGCCTGTATAACTCGTTTCGTCCGTTCATCATATTTAGCGGAAGGTTTCTACCTAAAGGACATCGTTTACGAAATCGCATAGAAATCACTGATGACGGCGAGGTAAAAAAACACGTCTTACAAATGATTACATAGATATTAGCCAAGATATTACGGGAATGAACATATTTATAGTGGTTGGAGTGGGGTCAGAAATTCCAATGGCGGGGGTGAGAATCGAACCAACGACTACCACGTACCTAATGTCTAAATCTTTAACCATTCGGTTACCGCGGAAATCTAAAGTAAGAATACGTACGTATGTTTTTCTTTGTCGGTCATACAGATTCGTGTACACCACCCCCTAGTGAAGGTGAAAGAAGAGAAACCCAAGAAAACATGGAGGAAAGTTTGACCAGACAGAATAAAAATAATCGATTACCAATGGAAGGTTAATTTAGAGTTATTTTACAACTTTATGTGTGAATTACTTTTTAATACATGAGACAAGGAAAACAGGTAAAAATAGTAAAACTGAATGGACGTTTGTATGTTCCCTGTATTGGATTACCCAAGTTTTTTCTTCTCTATCTTAAGGGGCGTGATATAACAAATTGAATTTGTTGGACGGAAAGAAGGCTTCCATTATAACATTGAGAAAAATGGGGTTATAGTTCATTATTAATGCATTTCGCGGTTTGCATATAAAATGGAGCTTTCGGACGGCACAATCTATTCTCGAGTATACATCATCGCACGGTCTCGTCTTTTCTATCTTTTCTTATGAAATTATCGCTCGTCTTACAAATTCAACGGATTTCCCTAGAAGCGAGAAGCACTTGCATTTTGCCCCGATTGTTCTACCGGACAGCTGCCCGTCGATCGGGGCCGGATGTGGTTCGGGAATTGTTTCTCATCGAGGACAAGGCAGACAGAATAAATAGTCGATGTTTTTTGTGTACGAAATATTCATAATTGTGTCGTTTAATCTTTAAAAAAAATGCTACAAAAATAAAATGGGCAGAAACGCAAGGTGAAAATGTAAAAATGAACAAAGTAGTTTTATTGGGTGGTTAGGTTTTGAAAATTCGTCTGCAATTCTATCAGCTCTGATCATTCTAATGGAATAAACATCAAACTGATAAACAATTTACATTTAAGTGTGATGAAATAGTTCGTTTTATAATTCTATATTTGTTTTATGACAAAAACGAACTGGCGCGAGAGTAATCTACTGTCATTCATTCATCTTGAAACTTCTAACAATGTTGAAATTAATCAATTCTGATTGTTAATATCAAGCTTACAAATAATTTTCAACTGTTATCGAAAGAACTGTGACGATCAATATATTTAAATTTTTATTAAAAAACAAACATGTTTTAGACATATAGAATAGATATAAACTTATGATTCTTCCTTCTTGAAGGTGGGATAATAGGTCATCTCAAAAAACCACAACCAGTTTTTATCCACAACGTTTCGGATTTATTTTAATCCTTCCTCAAGNGTTATATATATATATAGAGAGAGAGAGAGAGAGAGAGAGAGTGAGAAGGAGGGAGTGGTAGAAGGCAGAAGGTAGAGAGAGATGGGTTGACGAGAGTACATTGGGTACAGATTAGAGATAAAATGAATGTGACATCCATTTATGATTAAACTACTGATAATGAATGTTCTGATAACTTTAGTTCATACCCTGGATTTCGTAATTCTATTATATCAATTACAAATTTTAAAATTCCGCAAATTAGTTTTAACATGTTAGAAAGACATTGAATACGTCGGTTGTGATTAACGTTCGGCCAACGTTTATAATCTGATCATGAAACAAAACAGGATTATGTAAAGCCACTAAAAAATCACCACGCATTTACTATTATAGACTAGCTTACAAATCCAAAACTAATAAAATTCCACAGGACGGATTGTGGTAGGTCAAATCTGGCCTGGAATAGTAGAATCCTTGGGAGGATCCTTGACCCCTTCCCTAGATAATTAATCGCCTTTTAGCCTCCATTCGGCTAATTCACTAATTAGTGCCCCTTGTTCTTCTCGTACAAGGCACGTGTCCTACACCTACCGTAGCTTCTTGATTCGAGGGGAAAAATTAGAATAGTAACTGAAAAACCGATTTAATTAAATTCACTTCTATTCCGTTTAAATTCAAAAAAATTTAACAGTCAAATATTAAAAGCATATATATGTTAATTTCAAAACAAATATACAATTTAAAAAATATACAATTTTGCACATTTTTAAAATGTTGATATAGTATTAAGCACAAATATTTCATTTTTCTTCTGGATTAGATTCTGTAACATTTGGTGTACAGGTTTAACCTTGGCCTCGATCTTCAAAGCAGGTGGATTGCAGCGGCTGCTTCTTCAAATTATATCATTTGTTCAATGACTTGTACAAATAGAAGAAAACAAACAATCAGACGAACAAACAAGTACAAAGACCTAAAATAAATGTTTGGTACTGACAAGAGAGCCAACATAAATTAAATATCAATGAAATAAGCAAATTTGAAGGGATTA